GGGATGTAAGCCTACCACAAAGGAACTGAAGTTCAAATAAGGCTGCTTTAGCCTCGCATGAAACGATGGATTCCAAACTTTAAACCCGGAACGCCGAGCTCTCCCATTCCACCAAGAAAAAGCATTACTGTGCCCCCACAGTAGCACGGTGCGGATGTGTGGCTCAGGCTGGGTAGCCAAGCTGTGAAAAATCTTGAAGAAGAAAAACGGAGAAAAAGAAGAGAAAGAATTTTGTAGATCACCTAGTTATTTCCTTGTCTAACTCCAGGATAGCATACAAAGCTCTTCAGCTGTGTATCAGAGTTACACTTCTCATACAATCAGCTAAGTGAGATGTCACAACTCCTGTGCACAAGCCGTTCTGAAAACCTCTGCTGAAAGCACGTTAAGGACCGAAGAACGAAGCCGAAGGAGACAGGGTAAGAACAGAAAGTACAGATGGATCGCGTTTAAAGTATGCAGCTGTTTTTGCACGTCTAGGGTCCAAAGACTGACTGGTTTGCAAAGCCAGCCAGCTGGACTACCATATGAGTGAATGTAAGCTTGTCAAAGATATTACTGCTCCCTAATACAAAGCAGCAAGCCTGTTTTTTCCTTTAAAAAAAAAAAAACAAACCCAAAAACAAAACCAGCAACAACAACAAATTAAAATACAGTTGTAAAGATAGTTGAGACATTTTATGATGCCAGGCAGTGAAAAGCCTTCTTGCCATTATTTTCGAGAATATGAAATCTTTTTTTAATCTTACTTAATTCTGCATGTAACTTTGGGCTTCATGCTTCCTCAAACTCACTGAAAATGCATATGCCTTTCAACAAATCTTCCAGGACATACTAATTTCTATGATAACTTTTCTAAAGGACTACCTATATTAAAAAATATGAAATCTCCATTCAGTCTTACACTCATGTCTGATCAAGGAGATACAAAAGTTCCTGGAAGTTTAATAGAGTCTATAAAATAAATGTTTGAAAGACTTAGCAAAAATTTCATTTAAAAAAGAACCTAGCATTTATGAGTACCTTTGTGTAAGCATTAAATATTTACTATATGATCTAACTACTATTTCTCATGGGCAAAATGAGTCACATTTATTAAAATGTGAATCTGTTTAAGGGCTATTATGTACAATGTGCACGCACACATATAAGCACACACAGTATGAGCACTTTTTGGTAGTGATGGGATTAAGTGAAAATAAGGTGAGGCCACTGTTAAGGGAAGTAATGACAAAAGCAGTGCTCTTTCAATAACTACATTCCACATCTATGACAGAACTTCAGTAAAGCACAAAGAACAATCCACAAACAACATGACTAAAATTCTTGGTAATCCAGAAAGAAAATTTGTAACTTCTTGTAACTAAAAAAAAGCTATCTTTTGCCAAAGCTTGAGAAAAGTTACATGGCAGCAAGAGATACATAATCTTTTGAAGTTTCTTGCAGCACTTCATAGTATTTCAAAACAAAAGTTCTCCAAGAGCCAATTAAGATACTCTCATTCTGAAGTGTTGCTTTAGCCATCCATTCCCCTCAGTGAAAAAAGTATTTCCTTTTAAGAAGCATAAACTAGTGCTTGAACCAAAATTTCACCATAGTTTGAAACGGACAGAAAAGCTGAGTATAGAATGCATTATAATAAAAGTATCTAAAGCAATTAATTGGTTTCTGTCAGTGTGGCACTGCTTACAACGGAATCAAGTAACTTGATCACAAAAATCATTCCCCCCATAAGTCTGGAGTTAAATTTTTCAACTTAGTTTTACATGTTTTCATAATTGAAACTGCACGCTATTATGTGTCAGCCCTTCCCTATTCCCTATTATATTTACTTTAAAACTTCAAACAAAACTTTAAAGCTTTTCCTAATACATGTGGCATGCATACTACTGTGCTGTATTTTCACTGTGAATTGCTATTTCCTTTTACAAAACTGAAAAAAATCAGTGTTGAGGTTTTTCACAGAAGTACTCTTCATCTAAAAATCAAACTACATGAGTTCTAAAAGAAAACCTGTACCAGTGGAAGTCCCTCTCCTTAGAAAAGAGCAAAAATTAATAAATCACATTAAATATGAAGACTACCTGAAAAATTAAGAGGATAGATTAATATAATTCCATGCAAAAGAATGTTTGGGAAAATGAGTAAGAACAGAGCATGAGCTCTGAGAAAAGGGGCAGGGATAAAGAAAGCAGTTTCAGAAAATTCATGCTTATCTATCTTATCACAATGGTGTTGTGAAATCCAGATCATATTACTGGCCTGGTGCCTGGAACATGCCAGCTAACTGTAAGTCCGCAAACACTGACTATCAAAGGACTCTGCAGAAGCAAAAACTAATGTTTGTTAACACAAAACAAAACCAAACTCTCTGATCTTTTTATAGTAGGATTTTACATTTTTGACACCCTTGCTCCATATGCTTTTACAATCCAATTAAAATGTAAAACTGCACTAGTATAAAACCCCCTTTTAATATCAAAGACAAAAGTATTAAAGAAACAGTGAAGATTTGTTGCTAGTTTTTCATGTTTCGTCTTTAGAATGAACAATTATCAAAACTATGTGTGAATTCACAATCAAATAAAGTAGTTTCTCCTTTCAAGAATAAATGCTGTAATAGCTAACACTATGCCTTTTGCGAATGTGCCTTCATTTATATGTCTAAATGGTTGAGGAATCTGCACAAAAGGTACCACAGCATGTAAGGTAAGTAGGAAAAGCCAGCCCATCAAATGACTGCTAGCCTCATTATATTAAATATGACCAGCACACAAGAACTGATTAACCCACAGAACTAAATTTTGTAACAGAGCGATTTAGCATAGCAAAATGAACTCATCTGTATGTAGGATATCACCGCTACTTTTTTCTTCTAAGTCAAAACAACTGTACAGGGAAATGTCAGAAAATATCAGTGTTGTGCACAAAGTGCATATCTCATCCTTCTTATATATGCATTTTTTCATCTATCTGGGTATTTCTAAAAGGCTCTGAAGTATCTGTTTAATTACGATGCATTCAATTCTGGCATGTGAGACCAGCACACACTCTTTTAACGATTCAGCCTCTAGACTATAAGCCCTTGAGTCAGAGCAATTTACAAGGATGGGAATAAATTGTGAGTGTTGGACCTTGCCTATCCACTCTTTAATGAAATGAAAGTCACATATTACTAAAAAAAATGAAAATGACACATAAATAAAACCATATACAGAAAATAGAGTGAAATAATAAAAAATAACCCCCCAAATCCTGGAATTAACTTTCTAAGGGATGTAATATTCTGGGAGCCTTTTTAGGGAGGTTGAGTGACAATGATAGAAAATGGTAGCAGTTTGTTGTAAAATCAAGTTGTTGTCCCAGAGATACAATGACTTAAATGGAGAAACTGATTTTGACAGCTTACTGAGCACTCCTGCTTAAGTGTAAAAAGTCACATAGGAAACCTACTTCACCTTGTTTACAATGATTATCATAACTGAAGCCTGATAAACTAAAAATGCCTCCTTAGTTCCTGAGCTATGACATACAAGCCACTAAAAATCTATTCTAACTTTCTGAAGTGAGAATTGCTGCTATCGTCATCATATACCAGGTTCTGATGTATTAGCTCCTCAAACCAAATTGGTAGTTTGTTCTTAATTAGATTATCTTTGCAATAAATTCAACTATGCTGCAATTCAAATAGTTACTGAAGTCCCCAGAAATCCCCTTGTGTAACATCCTAGTTTTAGCACAGAAAATTGCCTTCTCTGTAAAGCAGTCTCCAAGGGCAGACACAGTGTCACATATCACTTGTACAAAAGCTGCATTTACATAGCTCAGCGCATCACACTTTCATACCTACAGTCCTCTGGCTTGGTAACAGTTTACTGTATATAGAAAAACAAGAGCAGCAACAAGAAGCAATTCTGCTTTTACCTACTGGGTTCTTTTATGTTCCTTATCTGTAGGAGTAACCCATACCAATGCAATTTAAGATACAAAATTTATATTCTGGTAAGAAATCCAGGCAGTTTTTTCCCCACATTTGTCTTAGTTAAGGTTTTCCACACAAGATTTACACAGATCATTATTTTGCTTTTGTATTTCTCCAAAATGCTATAGTACAGGTGATATCTTCCTTAAACGTCAAAACATTTCCTCCTTGAACTGACTTGTAATCCAAAGTAAAGTGTAATAAAGTTCAGTGCTCAGCCACCATCCAGTGGTCTTCCTACGGTCTCAGCTCCTTTTTTTGCAGAACACTCAAAAGTGTAGGTGAAAAAAGAACATAGTATAAACTCCCAGAGACAAGATGCCAATCTCTCAGTGGTTGAAAGACTCAACATTGCAAAACCACTTCAGATCTAGAGGCAATAGTGTTGACAATATATACTCAGGCTTTCATAAACACCTTTCTTTCCAGAATAATACTGTAAATGTCTATTTTATGAACAAATTTCATCCAACAAAAAACAGCCATAGCATTGAACGGCTACTGGTAGCATTTTCAAATAAGCTTAATGGTACTTTATTATGTTATTACAAGTCATATTTTTAATCTGATGGAAACATACCTTTGTTCTCTTTTCTACACAAAACTCCGAAGGATAGGTAAAATATTTCATAAAACCTGAAAGAGATAGTTAACCAGTCTATTTTGTAAAAATGACATCTTCTGAAGCATGGCATCAGAATAAACAAATAATGAAAACAGGTATACATGTTGGAATATCCACAATGAAATGTGTATTTTGTTGTAAGTAGCTTAAAAAAAAAAGGCCATAGTGCTGACATTGCTACCTTTAATGCTTCCTGTTAAGGTAAGCTGATTAAAAAAAAGTTAACATTTGCCTAACAGTGATACTTTGCATGTAGAAATATTTTTACTTTTATCATTTCAGGATCATGACAGTGATTAAACTATAGGATGTGAAACACAGATATAATTTTAGATGGTAAAATACTTGCAGCTTGTTGAAACATCACATATGAATTTCAAGATATTTGTAACAATCAAAAGGTAATATATTTTGACTAACCAAAAGTCCCACATAAGCATGACAGTCCCAAACAGAAAAATATTTCAAAGCAAAGCTGAAGAAAGATTTTGAGGTTTTCCCTTTAAGGGACAGGAAAAAACAATCAAATGCTGAAACATCCGATACCCCTTTCAGAAAGTTTATTTCCTCTTTTTTCATCAGATCATGGGAACATCCTCAGTTGGGCAAACAATGAATAAGCAAACAAACCAACTTACTACCTACTTCCAGTTATATAAATAGGCCAACATTTGGTCTACAAACCGAAATTTTAACCAAAGTGCTTATGCTGGCTAGGAGTATGAAAAATACTATGATTATAACCCACACAACAATGCCGCCAAAAGTTTTCATACAGATGCAGTTATACTGGCAAAAGACAAACAGAAAAAAAATATTATTTTGCTTGACTAAAGTAATACATACTGCCAAGTAGGGTAAACATACACAAAATTGGTTTTTGGTGTATCTGCACTAGGGCAAGTTTGTCCCAACTCAACTCCCATGAAAAGTGCTTTTATGAGTACACAAGTCTGGAACAGGCAAATCTAGAAACGAACTACTTCAAACTTCCATACTTCTTCTAATTAGAAGTTCTATTTGATTTTTAATTAAAATGACACATATCTTTCTTTTTAAGTGTGCTTCTTTCACGTCTCCTGTTTTTTGTTTGTATGCTTGCTTGTTTGTTAAAGTTTTGTCAATGTGCATGAGGATAAGAGACAGAAATGCTGTATTTCCAGCAATTAAGAAAATTTGCACCAAACCTGCAAGCATGCTGCTATATAACGTAGTTTTGTGCAATGGCAAGGTTGAAAAGTCCCCAGTAATATAGTTCCCTCCCAGCCCACTGCAGAAGAGCTACTGGGAGAGAGGGGCTGAGCCAGAGAAACAGGAAGAACTGAGCGATCAGCAAGCAATGGCACTAGTTACTTGAGCAATTACTTGGCAAAAGTGCTAACAGAAGAAAACTGAAAGCTAGCGGGCTAGACATCAAATAAATAAGATCTTCCTCTCCCATGGGAAGGAATTCTGACGTCCTAAGAATCTGATGTTCTCCTACTCAAAAAGAAGAGGAAGATACTAAAAAGCATTAAATCCTTCCTTAAAATTGTTTCTCTGGCTTCCCCCCTGCTTCCTCCAGCAAGTTTTTTTCTCCCTGAAAGATTAATCACAGAGTTGTTCAAACAAGCATGTTGGTTATGAACTTCATTTGAATCCAACTGCAGAAAAGAAGAAATGCCATTTATGTTATGTGGTCCATCACAATATGCAACAAATAGGCCTCATTCTGAACCCTTTTTTAACTGAACAAGTACAGACGATAAAAGACTTAAGAGATCACTTCATAAACAGACTCTGCAGGAAGAAGGACATCTGAAGACAGTATGGTTCTTGTTTCTATTTGTACAGGAGCATTCTCTTACCAATGTACTTTTCCTTCCAATGTTTTTTCTTATAGGAAGAACTCCTTAGAAAAGGTGACATGCAGGCAAGATCATGAGAGAGAAGCATTTCAGCACGGTCTAATCATGCTGATGTCATTCACTGATGGCTTACCTTCTGCAAACAGTGGTCAAACACTGAAACATGCTTCCTAGAGAGGTGGTTGATGCCCCAAGCCTGTCAGTGTTTAGGAGGCATTTGGACAGTGCCCTTAATACCATGCTTTAACTTTTGGTCATCCCTGAATTGGTCAGGCAGTTGGACTAGATGATCATTGTAGGTCCCTTCCAACTGAAATATTCTATTCTGAAAGATGTTTGAACTGATATGTTAAGATGACGCTGACGAACTCTGTTCTGTTTTTTTCTTAAACAGTTCTTAAAAAAACTGGAGAAAAAAAAAATCAAACTGTTATATACTGCTCTGTATTTCTTCAGCCTGCAAAAGAATGTGCACCCCAAATCCTGTGCTCAATTAAAGACATGAGATGCTGTAACAAAGACACAAGTGAACTCTGAGGAAAAAATCAGTTTCTTTTCAGTGGTAACAACAATTACAGTTTTTGAAGGGGGGGAAGATATTTCAATTCAAACAGTGAAATAAAACCCATTTTACACCTATATGCGAGAGACATTTGCAGAAACAGTCCATCTGTGCAGAAATATGAGGCCTGGAAACGTACCAGGGTTTCCAAGTGTGACCTGCTGTGCAAATGCTGATTATGCAAGTTAAAGCTGTCTGGGGTGAATTTATGTTCCCTGTTTTCCAGGGCTCCAACTAACATTCCTTTACTTACAGAAACCATGTCAAACTCCAAACTTTTATCTGACAATTTTTCAAGATTCTTGACAAGTTCTGTAAAGCACAATTCCTTTCCATTTGCAAAATGAAAATGAGTTTATTCCAAATATGAAACTGAGGTAAAAATGTATATCCAAAAACTTTAAGAAGGATCAAGTCCTGGTCACTTTTGTTTGAATCATTTACAGAAGCATTTAGAGAAACTTCTATGGTTTATTTCAAAACAACAGAAAAATGTGAGTAACTGACAACCGTATCTCTTCTCAGTATGAATAATTATTTAAGCATGCATATCCATCATTATCTTGAAACTCTAAAAAAAAATTCCTTAACGTTAGCAGCTGCCTAGACTCATAGAACAATTCAGATTGGCTGGGACCTCACCTTCATCTTATAAAGCAAGGCTGATTTCAACATTAAATTAGGCTTCTCAGAGCCTTGCCTAAATCAAAACTTTATGTATTTCCAGGAATGGAGATTCCACTACCTCTTTGGGTGACTGCTTCAGTCCTTGGTCACCCTCATTGTGAAATTATTTTTTTCTAAAATCCAAAATGAATTTTTCCTGAGGCAATCTGTATCCATTGACCATTATACTTTCACTGTGCACTTTCCAAAAGAATCCATCTTCTCTACAAACACCCATTAAGTAGCTGAAGACAGCAGTAAGAAGTCTCCTTCACCTTCTCTTCTGGAGGCTAAACAAACCTAGCTCTTTCTGCTGCTCCTCATACATCATGTCTGCCAGCCTCTAGCTATCCATGTTAGTTGCACTCAGCTGGACTCATTCCAGTTTCTCACAGCTGTTACTATCATAATTTCATATAATTTTAAAAAATGTCATTGTACTAAAGATCACCAAGCAGTAAGGTTACAGATATTTAAACACTGAATGGTTTCACATTCCATGTGAAATGTTTTACAAGCAAAGAAAAATATGATGGTAACATCACCTTGGTTTTAAAAAGTATCAAGCAGGCTTTACACACCGAAAAAGCTCCATACTGCATTTTTTCCTCCCATTTTATTTATTTTAAGAAAACTAGGTTTATATATACACATGCCTATTAAAATTCAACAACAAAAAGCTGCTAGAAATACGCAATATCAAAGTGCTGATTTGTGACAAGGGCATTCCT